TCACCCCTCTCTCAATACAGAAATCATCAGAAACTTGAAGTATCGGCCACCGTCTTCGGCCCCTCGATTGAGCTAGCCATCGAGGACCCAGAAGAGGACCGGAATGGAGGTCATCGAATCGCCAATCTGTTGACCATTAAAAATTTCAAGTTGTAGCCAATTTTGGAGAAGGCAGGATAGCACTGAGCTTCGGGCCAGTAGGGCTGATGATGTCCAAGACGCTAAAGCTGCTCGTGACCAATACAAGCGGGATCCCGATGCAACTCGAGGTATGGTGTCCACCTCCCACAGACCTATTAGTGTCTATTAGGCTCGTATGATGGAGTATAGGCCGTTGACACTTCCAGTAAGGCCGACACTGTCGTGCTACCACTTTTGAAATCGGGCTCCAGGAGAAACCACAGCGCACAGCGAGTACCCCAGAGCGGACCAAATCCGGCCCGATGCTACTCGATGACGTCCATGAACGAGTGCTGGAATTTCCACTGGCGATTGACTTGATGCGATACCAGGTTAAGTCGAGAAGGTCACCACCGACAGAGGAACGCTCTGCACAGCACAAGACTGTATATAACGTCAAGCTCAGTCCGTCCTCTACCTCTTTGGAACCTTTCGCGACAGCTGAAATCAACGTGATGCCGCATTGGCTCCGGTCATTTCCACTCCATCACCATTCAGTGCACCGTTTGCGGCACTGCAGCATTCGAGATGGTAGACGAGCTCTGTGTCCACCTCGACAAGATGGCCGAGTGAGTATACTATCAGTAGCCTTCCCACTCACACACTCGAAAGGTACCGAGTACCGGTCACTTGCCGCTTCTTCGGCTGTCCTCTCGAAATTCCACCGATGCAAGTTGCCGTGGACGACGGAGCCTCACCGAAAGTGCTCACTATGAGTCAGCTGACATTTAAACAGGGTGTGCCATTTCACGGCTACTGTTAGTGTAGCGCTCGCTGGGCTCAGGCACATCGATACGTAGTGTGATAGTGACCAACCGTTCTGAATGTGCCATAGGGATGCACTGGAAGGTCTACCCTAAGAGCACCATAGAGGCACATGCCGGTCGCAGTACTTTCGTGACCATCGATCGAGGTGCCCAGGCATCGGCCCTATCACTCTGAGATGTTACAGCTCAGGAGAATCGGCCGGACGCATGAGGGCAGTGGATCCGACAGAGGACGGAAGCGGCACCGGTAGCCATGCTCACAGGTCTGTGCTATTATCTGCTCTATGTAGGAGCTCTCTCCGTGCTGGTGGAGCCTTTGGAAGCTCTGCTACTAGCTCACACATCGTACAAGTTTACCGTGACAATGCGTGGGGACTGTTTGGGCATCCAGAAGTAGACGAGTATGTTGGTGGCGATCGGGTTGTAGTGTGAGCCGATAGATACAGGCTGGTTGGCACCGGAAGATACTATGTGGAATCGATGGACATCATAAAGCAGCGAGAGGAGTCTGCCCACCACAAGAGCCGTATGAAGACTCTAGTTGGGATAACAGCTGAGGACGAGGCATGTGTCGAGCCTCAGCTGGCGTGAATGCTGAATCCCAGGTGCGACAATTAGGGGCAGACCCTCAAGGAGTTGAGAATGGCGGTCGGTCATGTGCTTCGAGGAAGCTGCCTCACAGTATAGCTATGGAATGGGCCAAGGCAACAGCATTCCTCAACGGGATGGAAGCTGGTGAACTCGAGCATATCGGGAACACGCATTAACTCATGAATCAATAGGAACGGTGGCTCTGGACGTTAGTGGTAAAGTCATCAGCCCAACTCTGGAAGTTGACAAGAAGGCTGATAAGGACGGCAAGAGGCGCTTCCAGTTCTTCCACCATCCTCATATTGCGTCCGAAAGCGAGCAGCAGCCGTGGGGGACGGTGCCGAGCCCGAGAGCGTACACAGAAGATGGTCTCGGAATCCCCCGGAACGCATCCTCTCATAGGTACCGTTTCTATAACCGTATTTATAAGAGATCAGTCTGTTACACCAACACCTCTCTGGCGCCCATAATGTGTCGCTTCATGTGTGTCACGGAGAGCGGGCCGTCATCCGCGCAGCACTTTCGGATTCGCATGATCGATGTAACCTACTACTTCAGCTGTTCTACCAGTCCTCTATAACATCTTAGGTTCGACGTATTCGACCCAGGCGACTGCCTGATGATGCTGGTACCGGTGGAGAAATCTCCAAAATTTGGCCACAGGAGACCGCCGTTGTCACCGTTGAATTCGTACAGCCGCTCTCACGCGAACGTATTTAGCTCCAACTGCTAGATACCACCCAAGGTCGAGGAATTACATCTACATGTGGAGAAGCCGGAGCTCAATAGAAGAATCGAAGAGAGCACAGACGGATGGAGGCCAGTGGTGAATGTCCTCGGTAAGTGCTCGGCTGTATCACTGGGTTTGGTTCCGATTATCGTGTGGTTTTGTTCAGGGAGCATGATTGTGGAATTCCCCGAGGATGTAGGAAGTTCGAGCCTCCGTACTGGCTCATTATCATCGCCCCATCTTCAGGGCGAGAAGATGAGTGGTTGCAGACAACAAAGAGTTGAACTTATTGGGATTTGTACACTTCCCGACCTGGAAGTCCGCGTTCAGGAGGAGATTCACAATTCGCCCCCGCTGGTCGTCTCACCACAGGTCGGTTAATCATGGTGTGGTTCATTCGGACTCGTGTGGAGCCGCTCGTTGGCGGCCACTCAGGTTTATGTATCCCCTTTCGAGATGAACTGCATCGTGATGGACTTCGGAATACGGAATATCCACAGCATTGTGGAGAGTGTCCGCGAACTGGTAACACCTTGATGACAATCAAGCGTCTCTCATCCTTGTAATATTTTGCTTCAGGTCCTGACCGCAAAGAACTTCGTCCCTTGTGTATGGAAACTGCAGCATGTAAGTTCAGAGAGACTCAAACAGCAGCTGCGGGGCAAGAGCAGGCTAACCTTGGCCGAGGAAGAAATTTTGAGGTGTGTAAAATTGCACCGTCCGAGAATCGAACTCGGATCATCTGCTTGGAAGGCAGATATCATAACCATTAGACTAACGGTGCCTATATTTATTGGGTATGCCAATCGTCGTCGGTATCTCGAAATGTTTCTCATGGGTTTTCCCCTGCGAGATAGTCGCATTATTAGATTGTGCAGGTCTGCGGATGATGTAAGCGTCTTCGCCGTCGGCAACGAGGAAGGTATTGTTCATGGACCCACTATTCCTTATCGCAAGTTGCCTCTACCTGCTAAGCTCGTAAGTTCCGCCTGAGATGTGATGGAACACCCACGGGCTAGCCCAATACGCACCCCCCAATGTAGGTCGGTCAATCACTGATGCCTCGAGCTCAGGGCCATTCCGATAGCGAAAAGTGAGCCAGGGAGAAGTGCAGGAATTTGCATTGAACACCATTGCAGGTACCAGCCGTCATGTATTCCGGTAAGGTTTAGACCAAAGGAGGCGATCTACTACCGATCTTCATTTCACATAGAGTGCCTTCATGGAGGTCGAGGCTTTGATGTGATCCTACAGGTGGGGTCACCAGGCGATGCTCGATATGCTCTATAGTTTCACAGGGTTGTGGATCATTCGATGAGGAGGATGATTTACGCATGGATGCAGGTAAGTTTAATCCTATTGGATCTACTAGAAAGGCTATTGTTCGAGATCATTGATTTGGTGGGAGGGACTCGTCTTTCGCGTTGTTGTGAACAGGTCTTTTGTTTGGCGAGCATAAAGTTGCACCGGAGATGTGGCATGGCATGTAACACGTGATACTCTTGTTTAAAGCAATCTCCTGGTCGTGTTGAAGTCCCACAGCAAAAATACAGAGAGAGTGGCCTCGTCGTGATGGTCAAGTTGTCGGTTATCTCACTTGGGTGGCTTACGCAATACAGGGGTGGACGGGATACACAGAGGCACTGTCCTGCCGACAATTCAGTCACATGTCCAAAACACCAGCGCGTTATGGCTTCTCAAGCACTTGAAGCATATGAGTGTTTATGACCACGCACTTGACAACTCTTTCTTCCCACAGTGCGAATCGCATTAGCTGACAACTAGAGTGTCAGACCCGCTTAGTACAAAGGTTGTTCTGATATTCCGCGCAAGCAAGGTGGCGATCGGTCCACTAGAACCCACGCAGGAATGAGGTGTTCTTACGTGCAGAATAGGGGTGCCTATTATGTTGAAGTCGGAGTTCCTGTATTAGGTAGTCGAAATTGAAGTTTCTGAAGCCACGTGGTGTCGAAATTGAAGCTCCCAAAACAGCGCACCGTCGGAAATGAGGTTTCTATGAGGGTATCTTGGCATACGAAGTTGTCCGTTTGGCGAAATTGAGGGTTTTGATGATGAAATGAGAGTTGACAAGGTGTAGCACATCGTCCACCTTTGCTCATCTATCTCTAACCATCTTATGAGCTTACTTGACAGACTAGTGTTGTTAAATACTGAGGCGGCTCAAACGCATCTTAGTTCACTTCACAATCCTATCTGTAGGCATCACTAGTCGGCATTAGGGTCGAAGATGGATAAGATGGGAGTAACACATTTCAGCAACATGATTACAGCGTTATGAGTTGAAGTTCCTCGAATATGCTGGAATACTTCTTTCGGATACTTTGCCTTATCACGACCAACATGCAGCTAATATACATTTCAGCAATATATGCCTCTTCTTCTCGTGGTGGCGGTAGCTCAAACTGGGCGCGCGCTAGTGTCCTGCGAATTGCAAATTGTTCGAAATCGGTGAAGCTTGTTCTTCCAAGTGATCGGTTGAGCTGAGTATTCTCCCCTTGACAGTATTTCCTTGAAGATAGGCTATGCTACAAAATGACGTCTATGGTCAACATCCCGAGCGACAACGACGACCCGGCATACAGGTAGTGGGGTAATGATGATGATGACCATACAAGAGGGGAGAGGGGGAGCTTGATGGTCGTCATACTTGCGATGCAGGTACAAGATGCCTAAGTTAGTCGTGAAGATCGAAGGTAGAGGCAATGGAATCAAGACCAACATTGTAAATATGGTCGATGTGGCACGAGTACGAACCTCTTCCGCTTCTGCATCTAGTAGGGTGAGGAGCATGACAACGTATTCAGGCCCTGAAAAGACCTCCATCTTACCCCACGAAGTTCTTCGGCTGTGAGTTGGGTGCTCAGAGCAAGTTCGATGAAGCCACTGACAAGGCCATCGTTAACGGCGAGCATCAGCAGGCTGACATGCAGAGCCTTCTTGATAAGTTCATTGAACGGTAGTCTTGAAGGTGAACGTGAACTCATGATGTAAATGGTGTACAGATACGTCCTTTGCCAAAACTGTCATTTACCCGAAATTGATATGAGCGTGAAGAAGGGAGATATTAAAGGCGTCTGCAAGGCCTGTGGTTGGAGAGGGAATCTTGACATGACTCACAAGGTGGCCACTTTCATCCTAAAGAACCCTCCTCAGGGGACTGAGGGCTTCGGAGGTATTGCTAGAACGGGGAAGAAGGACAAGGCTGAGCGGCAGCGGGAAAAGGCCGAACGGCAACGCAAGGTGGGAGGTGGTTTCGAGGGGGAGAGGAGGGATGGTCGTTGTGGTGATAGGAAGCTGCTGGGGATGATGCTGATGAAGAGGAGGGGGTAGTGGTGAAGGAGAAGAAGGAAAAGAAAGAAAAGAAGGAGAAGAAGCATAAGAAGGATAAGGGAGATGATGATGGTGAGAAAAAGGAGAAAAAGGAGAAAAAAGACAAGTACGGCAAGGGGATGGGGTTAGGTCCTAGGGCAGTGCCAAATACGATATTTACTCAAGGGGTGTTTATAGGGGCTTGTATCAGGTCGGAAAAGAAGCATCATAAGCATCACAAGCATGAGGAAGATATCTCTGAGGAGGGTAGCGGCAGCAATAAGAAGAGTAGTAAGAAGAAGCATTCTAAGAAACAGTCTGGTGATGATGTTGACAATTCCCCCAAGGCTAGTGAGTATTCACGTACATTCATAACGGGTGTCCATTTCGTCGCCATAGATGGTAATTCTGGTGAAGAGAAGGCCGACAACAACACGCAGGAGATGGACCTGGCCCCGCTTACTTCGCAGAGCCCCGAGCTTGAGGAGGCAGTATTGGAACCGTTGTCTGCTGCTGTGAAGGATGCTGGAGGTAGCAGCAGTTGTTTCGGTGTTTTTACTCTCAAGTTTTGTTGTTCATTTTAGGCCTACCTGCCATGCCTGTTGATGATTTCTTACAAGAGCTTCGACTCTTGCAGATCTCCCAGAGGTTCTCCCATGTAACTCGACTGTATGTGGCCCTTCAGGTGAGGAGAGAGTAGTGCTACTGGAGTTTATGAGGAGGAAGAGGAGCTTCACGTGGTGCTAGGTTATATTCACACAAGAGAAGAAGGGTCTATGCAAAGATACTTTCGAGGACCGACTGCCTTACGTTAGCCGGGTCATTGACAATGCCGGACTGGTCACTTCTGAGGTAAGGATCGTGATGAAGCGAAGGGATGGTATGAACTGTTTTATGGCAGGTATGCGAAGCTTTTGAGGTCATGTACACGTTGCATCCTGATGTTGCCAAAATAGCTCACTATCCTTACATCCTTAAGGACCTCTATGATGAGAATCTCATCGTGGAGGGTGCCTTGTTGAAGCACTACGAAGGCAACAGCGATAGGAAGGGGTATTGCAGCTGATTGGGTTTTTAGGCTTGTGAATGTGATGGTGGTAGATTCCCCTTATGTCGTAAGGCAGCAACGCCTTTCCTCGACTGGCTGCGCACCGCAGAAGATGAGGAGAGTAGCAGTAGTGATGATGATGATAGCGACGATGATGAGGAGGTCATCACCCAGAAGAAGCCTGTGTCTAAGAAGCCGACAGGCAGCAAGCTAGTAGGGGCTTCACGCGTTGGTTCATCGGGAGGTCTGTTGCTCAGGTTGAAGTGGCTGAGGAGGACGATGGGTCGGACATTGACGTCGATGCGATATAATTATACCTTCCCCACTATTGCTCTTGTCGTCCTCTC